GTCCTGTAGACGGTGTTGTAGTGTCGCCTCACCACGTCATGGACTTGTGGTGGAGCACATTGGAGCCCCGTCATGCCCAGCTGGAGAGGGCAGGAAGCGCAGCAAAAATCTTTGCTTGCTTGGGCCTTAGCAAAGCTTGAAGCACTGGGAGTTGAACTCAAAGTAGCACATGCTTCATCTTGAAGTAGGCTGATTGTACATCCAAGGTCCGAACAGCCATGAGGGTACTGCATTGTTCTTGGTTCGCGGAAAGGGGTGGAAGGAACTTCTTGTAACTTCAGCTTCATTTGGCTGGTCATGATATCTCAACTTGCCAATTGCAAAGATTGATGTAGTTTTGGAGTGTTCAATGCATATTGTAGATGTCTTTTTCAGCGTGTGCTATCAACAAAGCAAGCAAGCAAGCAAGCAAGCAAGCCAGCGAGCGAGCGAGCAAGCAAGCAAGCAAGCACGCACGCACGCACGCAAGCACGCAAGCTGGCAAGCACGCAAGCCTGCAAGCAAGCCTGCAAGCAAGCCTGCAAGCAAGCCAGCCAGCCAGCAAGCAAGCAAGCAAACAAGCCAGCATGATTTAGCCTTGGCGCTCCTTTATGCGTGAAGGAACAGCATATTACACATTGTAGAATAAGACATTGTACAGCACTATCTTCCCCTGCTTAGCAATCGTTACTTGGTGCATGCGAGCCGCCTGCGCAGGGATCTTGAGCACCCCTCAGGACGGCAACTCTCGAAGACGCCAGATCGTATCAGGTGACAGCAAAGCAGTTTTCAAACCAAGCAGTCATCTCGATGTTTTCCAATTACTTTGCTTCTGGCCCGCACTGCTCCGTGGACCAGAAGAAAAAGAATGTGCGCACCTGTTGTGATTCAGAAGCTGATCCAATCAAAAAGCATGATCGCTGTCAGCTTTGAAGGAGCCATCATGAGCAAGCACATCGAACGTCTTGATATCGTCAACCAGGAAATCGCAGTCTTGCTTCACATTCAGCTGGTTCTGGAAAGTAGTTTGATGGCATTGCTCATTTCCCGTTCTGCTTTCTTCTATCGAGCGACAGAATTACCAGAAAATAGTTAATAATATACGATGATTTATATACTCCGGTTTTGCTTGTTGGTTGTCGCAAAGTGTGCAACGCAAGTTTAGATGCAGCCTCGCAAATGAACAAGAAGGGCGCGAAGATCAGCAAGATAACTCAGTTTGCACTCAGCAGTGCATAATTACAATACTAAACTGGACTTTAGCTTGAACAGGTTTGGGACTGGTCATGCCTCAAGGCTCAAGGCCAGTAGGCCTGGACGCAGCTTCCAGTCTGCCAAGCCACCGAAGAATGTGCACATACTGATCAACCCCCAGCGAGGCCTGGAGCGGAGCGTGTGATCCTGTGATTTAGTGCATGGCGTTGTGTCGCCAAAACGTAAACGTCACACGTTGCTCATGATTACTTCTGGATGGTCCAACCAACAGCTTACAAATAGCACATTGTGCTTGATATGCAGCACTTCCATACATCTCAATTCCCATGATGGCTGTACCCGGCTGTACCCGCCTGTAGGCATAAGTTGGCTGCTCATACTTGGCATAGCTGCCTTGGCCTGCCAAAAAATACGGCAATGAGCGGAGACCCGGCATCCAAACAAACCTCATGCAGGTTCAGCAAACCCTGTCTAAATCTCCCTTTAAAGAACCACTTCTTGCAGAAACCACTGGCCGGCTTGCCTGGGTTCACTTCAACCAGGCGGCTCTCAATGTGACCTTGACCTGAGCTTTCAAATGTCAAACAAATCGTTGATCCACTCTAAGTGTCTTTCTGCCCTCATGTTTGATACAAAGTTACACCCGAAACGTTCCGAGAGACAATGAGAGCCGGGCCAGGACCAGCATAGGTAATGGCTTCGGTGCTGCCTTCCTGGTACCTCTGGTAGAAGAGTCCTGAGAGAACAAGAGCCTGAGTGCCACATTCAAGGGAGACATATAGTGCACGGTGTGGGTGTGCAAGGCCGGCATCGTCTTTGTATCGGCCATCAACCCACTTCAACTAGTGCTGTTGTGCAAAGGATCTGTGAAAAAAAAATGAGTCCTTGGGGCACACGTGGCACAAGCACGAAAACACAGCTCAATGATGCCTCAGACCTGATTCACTATTTGGGTTTGTATTGCAATACTAGGAGGACCTCCCAACCAATGGATTTTGGATGATTTTGGTTTATGTTCCTTCTTGCAGGTGGTCTTTGGGAAGTCTTCCTTTTTTGCTACACACCCATTGGTTGCACCAACCCCAAATCGGAAACAGACCGATAGATCGGTGTGGCGAAAACAAGGTGTTCGGGTCCACCGCGCTGGGCGCGACGTGGTGTCAAGACGTGGTGCGACCCAAATCGGTTTGTGCCAGGCTGTCAATGTCCTCAGGTGGAGCCCCAAAAGGTGTCTCCCTCTTGACGAAGTCAAGCTGTGCCAAGCTTCCGAAAAGGTAACTGCCTGGAAGCAGAATCTGGAAATTGTTCTTTCAGACGGTGTTTTCAGAATCTTCTGCAATCTTGGTACCATACACCAAACCCTGCCTAGTCCACCACCAGCAACACCACCAGCTCCAGCTCCACCGCCTCCACCGCCTCCACCGCCCACCGTGACGTACTGACCGCCACCGACCTCGACATCAAAGGTTGCAAAGGGAGCGGCAGAAAACTTCAACTATTAAAATTGTTGGCCCGAGAAAATTGCGAAACAATGTCAAAGAAAAGTAGAAGCAGCTAGCGGAGGTTTGGAGGTCCCTGAGTTCATAAGTTACTTTGTAGGTTTTACTATGTTTTACATTGTGTTACACGTGTAAATGTGCATCCATGAGCTGAAAAGCCCCGAAGTACCAAGAGCCACACCTGACCTGCTAAAGTGGAGCTAAGCCCTCTGGGCTTCACAAAAATGTGCAAGCCATCGCTCCTCCTGGGGCTCCTCCCCTCCTTGAACTCGCAGGAGAATCTTCAATGTTCACCCTGCCTGACTGCCCTGGCTGCCTTTTTGCTTCCAACCTTGATCTCTACCAGCCGAGGCTGCAACAATCACAGGAGCCATCCTGCCAATGCCTGCGCCGTAAAAATCAAGAGCCAAAATAAGAAGAGAAATGAGAAAAGTAAGTAAAAGAGTTCTTGACAAGCTTCCATAAACAAACTGGTGTAGGAAGTACAGCAACATCCACTGGCACTGGCCTTGCCACTACAGTTTCAGCTTCCACTCCAACTACAATCACAATTTCCATCAACTCCCTACAGCTACTTCAATTGCAACACACTGCAAATGCAGCCACCTTCATCTTCAACATAACAATACCAGCTTTCGGCGAACCAAGGATCTGCTGTTCAAACCTGAATTAAGGACCAAAATACATTGATCTCTCCAGGTCTTCTGATTAGTGCTCTACTTTTAGCGGCTAAAACTGGAACAACCTGCCTGCGCAAATAGCGCAAAACAGCAACTGCTGAACGTTGCGCTACAGTAAGTTCGAGCAAAACAATTCTAGCCGGGCACGTCAATCAACTCAAGTGAGGCTCCAAAACAGCAGAAATGCTGGGTTGAATTATTCAAAAACCATTCAGAGTAGCGAAAGTTGGGGAGATACGGAGGTGAGGTCTTTTCTCGGCACTAAGGCTCAAGTTTTCAAAGAGCAGTACAGCAAACAAGAACAGGTGCTACTTGGTCCAGCGTTTGGACTGCCACCTGCTCTGAGAGCTTCTGATTTCGCACTTAGATTTGGCCAGGTGCAACAAATCAAATGATCCCTTTCTTTCGGACAACATCACGACATCGTCACGTCTTCCTGTAAACCGTCTGGCCCAATCTTAGCACAAAGCCTTAAGCATCCAATCAAGACAGTGCATTTCGGTTTGCCAGGTTTGAACCGGCCGTATCGTATGACTCGTGGAGTCATTCTCAATTCAACAATAAAGTACAATGTGTACGAGCTCGCCTCTGGTCCCTTGTCTCGCAAACCAGTATTGCACCCTGGAAGCACGGGCAAAATCAACACCAAGAGTGGAACCAGGTCTCAGTTTGCGCAGGCCTTCAGAAACAAGAAGGCCACACACAAATTGCTTTCCAAACCTAGAAGAAACGGAGAAATGGTGGCATACTTGGCAATCAAACTGTCTTGGCAATCAATCCATCAAGCCCGTATTCGCACATACTTGGCATGCTCGAATTAGTGTGGAGATCTTTGGCACCGCTCGCTGGCACAGCTCGCAACAAAGTTCCCTCGACCATTCGTGCCGTGCAAGGCACGTGGATTCTCGCTGTTGGCCAAAACAACGCTGTCTTAGCTTTGACACATCAGACAGCTGTGATTTTGTGTAGCCAAAAACAGATAAAGACCATTCAGTTCGACCTGGAAAAGCAAGTCTAAGTGCCCTTGGGGGGTTCTTTTCAGACACGTGCTGCGAATGCTGAGCGAGGTTGTGCTCTCCTTCCTACGCCATCTCGGCCTGAGCGGTCTAGAAAAAAGAACACAGGATCTCACATTCAGGCTAGTAGGTTGAAGGTCATTGCTTCTAGGTTGGAGGTCATCGCTACTAGGGTGGAGGCCATCTCTACTAGGGTGGAGGCCATCGCTAGATATGAAACAAAGTGACTCGGCTATCTCACAAAACAAAGTGACTCTTTGACAGGCATCGCACCTGCTGCGTGCAGCATGAATTTGGCATGGCCTGCAATAGGAAAAACTGAAAGTCATCGCACCTGGCTTTGGAGCAGCGCGCCTAGTGCACCACATGGTGGACGTGGACGACATGATGGACGTGGTGGTGGCTGTGAGAATAGCTGCCGCTGCTAGACCAGCTGTGGCCGCCGGCAGCACCACCAGCACCACCACCAGCACCACCAGCACCACCAGCAGCGCCAGCGACAAAATGGTGGGTGACAACAACCTGAGGTCAAACATAGTCAAGGCATTTCATGGTGATTCACGTCTATAATGTTTTTCAAATGTTGTTAAGTGTCTCTCTCTTTCCTCAAATGTGTCTCTTCCAGTCAGGGAAACATAAATCGACCAGTCTGTCTTGCCCAGGTGCATGAGTGTTCCCACCAGCTCCAGCCCCATGGTACACGTAGCCAGGGCAGCCAAGCTTTTCATGACCGCAGCACCTACACAGAATGTCGGTGACCACCCCCTATCCAGCAAAGCCTATAAAAGCCTTTGTCACTACAGGTTTCTCTTCCGAAGAGAAGAGCGCACCAGGTCTTCTTCGGCTCCGACCATCCATGTGCCCATCCTGCCAGTCCTGAAAACTGCTCAAGCGAGGCCCAGAATGAGAGGTGCGGAAGAAGGAGTGCTGCTGGTGATGATGGGGTGTCACATTGTCGACCCGTGTACTTGCACTGCAGTTTCGCTCAGCACTAGGTCACACCCTCCGTGTGCCTGCATGGCAATCATAAGGCTTCTGCACGGACACAGCACCATGTGCCATGTGAGCCTGTCACTGTCGCAACAATCTGTCGCTGTCGCATGGCAAGTCTGCGAATAAATTTGGCAAAAGTCGGCCCGGGGAAAAAGCACATTTCTTGCTGGTTGGAAAGCAACTCGAAGAAAAAACTTGCCGTTTCTGTCTAAATCTTGAAGCCTGAGACTGCTAATGCTAATGCTAAAGCTCGTGCCTCCCAAGACCAGTGGCCGTTGATGAAAACCTTCCTGAGTGAGGATCCAACAGTATCCCGTGTCAAAACATGCTAATCTGCTTGTCATACTTGTTACGGTTGGGTGGCCAAGTAGCTTCCACACCTTACCCTCACCAGCATCGCAGGCAGGTGGTGCGCTCACAGACTGGCAGCCTCCCCATGTTCAAGCGCCCGTGAACAAGAATATAGATGAAGACGATAGTATGTACGTCGTGTCATGTATTGATTCTCTCCAGGTGGAACATCCCTGCTGATTGTCAAGTATGTCTGGCCTTTTCCTTTCTCTTTGCAGCACCAAACCTTTTTGGCCGGAGACCACGCACGACACCTTACTTCGAATCCCAGACTCGGACGGACCGTCTAATTGAGGACCTTCAAGGACCTTGAAGAGCTGACTCAGCTTTGTACGTATTGATTATTGATGCAAAAAATGGGCGTGCCAGACCCGCTGGCAAAAGGAGAAGCAAATAAATCCATTGGTTGGCTGGCCGCCGTCTTCCAAAACACAAATGAAGGCAGCTGGGCTCTCAGCCAATTGCCCAAGGCAGCCTGGCCTGGGCAAGTTCAAGCTCATTGGCTGTGCTTTGTTCTCTTGGAGTGGTTCCAATGGTTCCATTAAACTGTGAGAAGAACAAGAAGAATTCTGAAAGTTCTCCCTCTGGGTCCCTGACAATCAAACGCTGCTTTTCCTGGCCCTTGCTCTCCGCAGCCAGCGGCCTGAAACGTGCAAACCACAGCGATGGATTCGAGGAACGCATCAGACTTCGTGGAACGCATTCGGCAGGGGCGGTGCGGCGAAGGCGTAAAAGTTGCTTGAAAATCTATCGCACTGATTCGCACTGCGTTCATAAATGGAAGCTGCTAATCGTCACCACAACTCCAGTTTAAAAAGTGCCATATATAGACTCCATTGGCATTGTAGTTCCCAAATGGAAGAAAAGCAGCAAACGTCTTCCGGCATCCAACATAACAAATCCACATGGCACTCGGCACAAAATGACCTTTCGGCAATGCATCAACTTAGCAGGACTTGATTGGATGAACAACACGCATCCGACTATATCCCTCGTTCATCCATTTTCTTCGGGGTAGATCACCCAAACCGTGACATAAGATGACATGCACCAGGAAGAAGTTGTCCGACTACCACTCGTCATCCCCGAGTCTGGTGATTTCGGCCGCCTGAATGGTGCATGCACGGCACACATCGCACTCCACCTGGTGGGCCGGTGGCGCCGACAGCGGCGACTAGGCCGAAACAAACGCTGGCGGCTGGTTGTTTCGCCTGAATCCTGCTGTAGGCCAGATTGCAACCGTTGCTCTTCTCGCCAAAGACGTGTTTCTGCGCGGGTCGAACAAAGAGAGGATGCCAAGACATCATGACAAAGAGATTTTGTCGGCTTTCCAGGCTGGAACATTAATCTTAGAAGGCCTTAGGGCCTTCCAATGCACATAGCAGGGCCTTGAACCCAAACCAGACGCCTGCGTCCAGTCAATGCGCTCTTGGCAGGTCGAGGATTCTCCGTTCAATTCGCATTGGGCCTCAGCCAGTTCAAGAAAGAAACCGTAAAAGGTCATCTAAACATTCTCCAAGGGTGAAGGCGCATTGAAAGAGAGCTTGAATTTTGAGGCATGACACACATGCCCCACGTGTATCTGCGTCGGACGGGCATCCGGGCGTCACAGCCGAGTGGGGACAAGGTGGTATGTGGGCAGCCCAATTGGAAATTCTGGCAGCAGAAGTCGCCTCAAACGTGACAAAGAGCTAACCCTTGTAGGTCGGAGGCCATCGCTAGTAGGTTGGAGGCCATCGCTCTTAGGTCGGAGGCCATCGCTAGTTTGGACGGTTGGACTTTCCATGTCTTTGGCCGTCGCTGTCAAATGTCGGTTGGCCAAGGCCGGCGCGCTTGTCTGAGGCCCAGCTAGCTTGGTTGGCCTGGCTGAAAAGGGCTACTGCTTTGGATGCGACAGGATTTAGGAGGACAGTCATGCCAGCCGGACTGTATCTTCGTGGCAATGGAACTTCACGCAGTACTGGCTGTGGCCGTTGCTGCAGCACCAGTCCTTCTTCTTTGATGACCTAAACAAGATGAAACACTACAGCTCCCATGACTGCAGCAGTAGTACACTAGTAGTCCTTCTTTTTGTGGATGAAACGGACCGTCTTTACCCCACAAACGTTCGCTCCTCTAGCCCCATCCAAGAGTTACCGTCCCTACGCCCTACATGGCCCTACCAACTCTGTTCGGAGTAGCTTCTACGAAAGAGCTTGGCAAATCACTGGCAATGGGGAATTGGTCTTTGGGAGTTGCCATCGTTGTTGCCAAGCCACCAACCCTGCATCCAGTTGGATGCACCAGCGTTGCAATCATAACCGCCCTTGCCCACTCCGTGCACTTTCGCGACGTGAACCACCTTGCTGGTGCCAAAGGTCACTCGCTGTCTAGAAGTAATTTGGGACAAAAACCGTCAAACGGAGACACTGTGCACAAGAGTCACAAGAGTTGCTAAACACGTTGCCTCTTACAGTCCCATCAAAATAGAAGACCTTGACGCGACCTTGACTGGACCTTGATTCCTTTCAAAGGTCCGACAATGTCAAGGCAGGCACTGCATGAGCATGCCAGTGGCCATGCCAGGTTCCAGGGCAGCCCATGTGTTTGTTGGCCTGGCTGAAGAATTCGCTTGGAGTGCTGTGTACGGTGATTTCGGCCATCCCGGTTCCATTCCTTTGCCAGCACCCGGGGCCAAGCGCAGCACCAGGATTTCTTTGGGTCCGACCAGCCATGGTACCAGTTGGAGAATCCAGCATGGCAATCCTCAGTCTGAGGTGGTAAAAGCATCAGTTGAACCTCCAAGAACAGCCTGTTCTGAAAGGTTTCCACACCCAGTTACCATCTTTGGTGTTTTCTGGCTGCCACCCTACCTCTGAGCATTGCAATCTTGGGAGTGCTTCGGGTGTCTAGTTGCGGGTATCAAGTGCATGTTTGCACACTTCCGAATAGACTCTTGGTGGACTCCTCTTTACAAATACCTCGGTCCTTGTCTTGAGCCACAAAGTACGAATCCACGTCCCATTGACCCCGCACAAATCCAGGTTGCAGTAACATACACATCAATCAGCAACCAAGCCACATAGGTGTGAATCACATGGACAACCTTTTCCCAGTGTCCGACTGGCTGGCAGCCAAGATGAGAGTGTTGACAGCACCAGTGTTGCCTGGGAAGGACTTGTGCCACGTGTTGGCACAGTGCAAGGAGTATGGTTGCCTGGACTCCCTACGAGCGCTACCAGCTCTTCCGGCATTCCCTGCAGTACGACAAATCTCTCAAAAAGCCTTGCAGCCTTGCCGGCGAGGCACTTTGAATGAGACCAAAGGCTGTGCCAGCTGTCAAGGCCATTGTGGCAGTCCTGAGGTCGAACAATTCAGAGCTCCTGGGGTCATTTCAGAGGTCAAGGTCAAGGTCAAAGTCATGACTCGAGACTGTCACAACTTACTCCAGAGCCCAGGTGCATAAAATGGGTCGACCACTGTGTGCCACTGAGTGTGGTAGTGCGTCACATAATGAGGTGGAGAAGGCACGGGAACTTTCACGTAGTGATCTGAAGGGCAGACAGGTTGGATGGTTTTCCAAGCGCCAAAAAAAAACAAAACAAAAAGCGGAGAAGTGGCAAGGCACCGTCACCCTTGATGTGGACAGGGTACGGCTTCTTGACGTTGATGATCTGAGCAAGACTGAAGGTCAAAGTAAGTCAAGTCAGTGGGTGTAGTGATTGAAGGGCTAGTGCATCTCTGCTTCCCTTGTACCCGCAGTCCCTGCCTGTGGAGGTTCTTTGACGGGGTACGGCACATTGTCTTTCACAACGACCTGGAAGTCGTGCGTTGGAATTGACAGAACTGGTTCAGCAAACAGCACTCAATGCCACATTAACATCTGTAAGATATTGAAGCAGGATCAATGTATCAATGTCCATATACTATATATAGTGCAATGCATGACACAGTATACTGCCCAGAACCATTCATTGCAAGAAATACGTCAGTGCAAAGGCACTAATTCTAGCGGGCGGAAAATCCTTGCTCCTAGTAGTAAGGCCAGAAGCCCCCAGTAGTTTCTTGCTCCTAGTAGTAATGCCCTTGTTGCTAGTAGCGATGCCAGGAGGCCCCATAGTAGCGTCCGATCGCTCCTAGTAGTAAGCACCGGCCCACCGGCCCCGGCATCTGGGCTGGCCCACCGGCTTCACGATCTTCGGACCCGGCACGTTGACTTTCACGTATGTTGGTGGGCTTGGCACATGATAGGAGTGCTGGATGGTGTGGATAATCTCAGTTCGCAGTGTGCTGTGCTTCCAATCAAAAGGATTTCCAGCAAAGCACAAAAGTTGGCAATCTGGAGAGTCAGTGATCGTGGAACCGCCATGTCTATTGAAAAAACGGCAGTGGAACCGCTCGTGGAAACCGTGTTCACTTGATCCAAGGAGCTGGAGCATGCGTGGGCATGGGCTCCGGGACTGGGACCTTCACGTGCCTAACGGGAAAACAAAGATCGACACATTCGGGTTTTTCGGAGGACTGCCTCGATTCGTTGAGCGAGTGTCGCAAACGATGCCGTCCACTTGAGCGAGTGTCACAAAATTGAGCCATGCCACTGAATCTTGGTCACAGTGTGGTAGATGTTTTTGTCCACCACACGCTGTGGGCAGTACTGCGCAGGCAGAGCGACATCAGAAACTCCCAATTCCCCGACAAAAGGAGTGTCCAACAGCGAAAGTGTCTGGCGGTTTCCCCACCATCCGGTATTTGTAGCAGCACCAGCGAATGTGCTTCTCGTCCCAACTCGGATCTGGATCTGATGAGCCCGCACTGCAATCATAATGTGTGGCTGGAGCCTGGCCCGCAGCGTGGGGTCGCGAGCATGCTCACCAAAAAAATAGAAAAAAAAAACATGGCGAGTGGATTTACATTGCTTTTACTGTAGTTTTGTATGCATTCAGTTGGTACAGGGGAACGTTTTGAAGCATTCTTTTCAGGTATTTGAAAGGCGTAACTGGCCCTCGAGTAGCCCTCCTGTCTCCTCTCGCACAGAACTGGTTTCAATTTTGAGCAAGGCTTACCATATCTTTCACAGTGTGCACGATGGGTGGCTTTTCTGGCATCTGAACCTTCACCTGAGCCCCCACGAACAGTATGGTGGCAAAGACAAAAATGGCCAAGATCAAGATCACAAGGTCCACACCAGACCCCTTGTCAGAACCCGCAGCTTTGCCGTGCACAATCGCTGACTTCATGCCAGGATGCATAATGATTTTCCGGGATCTTCCTGCCGCTGCCGTCAAAAGGCTCTCGCTCTCTCTCTCTCTCTCTGTCTGTGTCTGTCTCTGTCTGTCTCTGTCTGTCTCTGTCTGTCTCTGTCTGTCTCTGTCT